TGGACAAACTTGCTGCAACGCGTGAAAAAAGATCGGTGGCTGTGCTTATATATATACTATCATTTGAATGTTAAAACATATATGCCCCAGAAAAGTGGTCGACGGCTGGCGGCAGTGTGCGGGTCACACGGACATGTGTGCGGACGTGTGCTACCCAGCGACGGACACACGGTGACACAGGGACGGGAGAGCGTACGGATGCACAGGCGGGCAGATGTATGGACACGCCAATGGACGGACGGACGGATGGATGGATCTTTGTGCACATCCATATGTAAGTTTGCATCCAAAAGACACAGTTTCTTTCGTTCAAAAAAACGACCAGCAAGTGTTCTTCAGATTCCCTATTTCAAAAGAAGGATATTGTTTGAGCAAAGCAGATTATTGAACATCCAAGAATTGTTCACACGTCCGACTACATGTCACTGCCCGCCTATCCGTTCACCCGTCCGCTTACGTGTACATCCGTACGTTCGCCAGTGCGCTCGCATGTACATCCCCAGGTTCACTGGTACGTTCACGCCTGTCTATACGTTCAGACCAAGTTGAACATGTTTGCTTACAAGGTGTTGATAATAATCTACATATATATAATATTATGTATATAGTATACTTAGTATACAGTACAATGCTGTTGCAGCACTTTGAGGAGGCTAACACTGAAGTTATTTCAAATGACCAAAACATCTCCCAGGAAAGTCCTGCAAAGCGAGGTTTGTTTTGCAGCTTGGCGGATGAGTGAACCCTGATTGTCAGTCTTCTTTGTGAAAGCATGTGGCAGTGGCACTCACGGCATCTCAATGACGCATTGATGGACTTTTGCTTGCTAGAATGTGAGCTTCCAAAGGTCATGGCAACATGCGAGAGAGTTGCCAGGGTTGGTGTAGTTGATGGCATCAACGAGTGAGTTAATTTCAACCAGTTGGGCAGGTCTGAAGAGAAGCTTTCTCAACCTCACAAATTCTTTGATGGTATTGTTGCCTTCGGAGACCCGCTGGATTCTTTCACGGTTTTACTGTATATTCTTCGCAGAATGAATGAACCCGGAGTTGTGTTTTCGTTTCAATTCAGGAGAGCAGTGACAGTCCTCAACGAACTTCTCAGCATGTGCTGAGCGCTTCGCAACTGCAATCACTGGCTCATGGCCTTTTTCCTCCAGACGAAGGCAGGAAGGTTGCAACTGTTTCGAGCTTGAACTTGAATTCGGAAGTGATGTATGAGTATTGGCTATGTTGCCTTGATGCGGGTTCAGAAACTACCCCAGATTGGTTAATTGGGTGTTGTTCTTGGTCGCAGCAGCAACGAAATTGCATAAATTTAGTTGGCCAAGGTCTTTGCTTGTTTGGTATGTTGAGGAAGTTGAGGGCGGCCAAAGTTTCTTACATTATATACAGAGCGGAATGTTCCGGATTAACTGCAGCTTCTGAAAGCAGGCGTATTTGACACCACGGGGCTAGCCACAGCTTGTCAAGTTTGCTTCGTTCCTGCGGTTTTGCTTGATCTATCGACCAGTTTCAGGTGATGAGGACACGGATTTGAGTGTCCACGAGTTTTTTGAGCGTTTCACCGCAACTTGTTCAGCAAAGCTTTGGGGGGTTCACGGAGAATGTTCGCCTTTGCATCAAAGGTTGGAAACCTGCAAGATGGCCAGGTCACTTGGGAATGGAGATGTTATCATGTCGATCATTGCTTTACCACCTCTAGATCGCAGCTTGTCGCCTCCCAGAACCCATGCGAGGTTGCTGTGGTTGGATTCTGGAATATTGTGAAACAGTGGCGCTTGTGCATGCCATTTAGTGTGGCGGTTCTTCGCAACAAGAAGAAGCCCCCGTTTCATAATCACAGTGAACGTTTGAAGTTTGAACGCTGATGCATCGTTGGCAACAACTGCCATGAAGAAGCGGATTACACCTGAACTTGTAGAAAATGATGACTATGAAATACTATGAAGTACCAAATAAAAACCTTGAGGCACTGCGGCAGAAGATCTTGAAGAGGGGTGTTGTATGCAATCTTCCTACAATAGGACAACTATGTGACTGCACCGCATTCGGATGTGCGTTATTATACTGGGAGACCTACCGATATTCAGTCTATTCTTACTCTTTCCGTTCCTGTTCGGGGGCCTCCCTATTCAATACACTCATCCTTCAAAATCAGACTTCAGTGGGGACAGGGCTCTTCATTCCCACTGGACATTGAGGTGTGATAAGTTCACTTGTGACGTTCATGTTTCAGGTGATCTATCGCCAGGCAAAAGCCATGACAGGCCTGGAGCTCGGAACTTTCTGGGGTGACATCATTGAAAGTCTCTCTCTCTCTCTCTTTCTGTCAGTGGTTCAGCCTTGGCAGATAGGAGTCTTGCTTTTTTGCATTTTTGGCGTTATGTTCACAGTGAAAATCTCTTGTGTCGGCCCTTCTGACGTTGCTTTGGCCGCTACACCAAAACATAAATCGCCACTATTTCAACACTGCTAGTCTTGTTTGTTCAAGGTGATGACACCTTGTCAGATTGGAGAACGACCTTGCGAAGCCTGGGGCACTTGCTTCTCAAGCAAGATAGAAAGACCTCGATGACGATCAATTCATTTGAGCGGGCAGTCTCCCGAGCACCAATGCTGCAAGACTTCTCATGGCTTCAATATGACCTCTCAGCAGAACTCAACTCCGGTCATTTCCCTTCTTGTCCAGTTTAACTGCATTCTTTACATGCAGGTTGTGCAAGCAGTGCACACACTCAAATGGGCATGTCTCATGAGATCAGTTTATATAATTTCTTTCAAAATCTGTCAACTGTTTGGTACAGCCGGTGCAGCGAGCGTTCTTCAAAGAAGCCTTACTTTGCAGCCTTTGCCTTTTTCATCATTGCAACGTTTTGCTTCACACTCAGCTTCGACATTACTCATTGAAAGCAATCGATGTCTTTGAAGAATGTCGGGCCACAATGCACGCATAGAAAGCGTGTTGTTTTGCTCATGTTTGGGCAAACCATGCAGTGCACTTCAAGTTTCTCGGGCTATGACTTGTGCAGGTAAGAACGGGTGCTAGCACACACTCGCGGAAGACCCTCCTGCAGGTTCAGCGCTTGTCCCATGGCTTAGTTTTGTAAAGCCTGGGTTGCATACATGTGTTGTGAGCGAACAGCGAGATCAGCATGTTTTGGTGTTATTCAATTTGCCGGATCGGTGCCATGACTATTGATCGAATTGCAAGCAGGTTAGTTGGGCATAATGCATTAAATCGCAAGTTTTCAGGATCAGCACGTCGCAGCATCATGGAGTTAAGGGCACACCAGTTTGAGTCTGGCGATGAGTCTGGAAATGGCCTGCTCTCGCGGCAAGAGCTGGTCGACTGCCTCAAAGGACGCGAATATTATAATATATATATATAATTCGTGATGTGCGGCATCGGCTGCCAGGTGAAACTCAGACCACTCTATGTTGTATGGTATGGCTGGGTAGCTGGGCAGCTAGAAGGTCAATACAGAACTGCTGATTTGTGCAATTTTTTCCGTCTCTTGTTTCACTATCAGTAGGGAAGCACGAGCAGAATGTTCCAACTTGAGATGGAAGGACTTGAGGGCATCGAAGAAGTGATGCACAAGGGACATCCTGTGAGCCGTGCTGCCATGTTTGGATATGCTAACAGGTGTTTGATGGTTTGTGCTCCAGCATTCAGGGTATTCAACATGATTGATGAGGTCAATAAATTTTCGCTGATTAACTCATTTCACAACATGATGCGAACAAATCAGTTTGATGGGAGCCAGTGAGCCTTGAACATGTGGCTTGGAAGAGGCCACAAAAGGCCCCCCTCCTTTACGATGGTCCAAGGGTGTCATCTTTGGACATTGCAGGTGAGGAGGACTTGCACGAGCTTGCCCTGAAGCTGGACCAGCTCAGCGGCCGAGAAACTGGCCAGGTGGACTATCTTAGTTTTTGCCATTGAGAGGACCTCAGTAGAGGAACTCTCATGTGTTCTTTTAATACTCGTATTTGAGCCATATATTCCATGAGGATGCTGGATTGGATTGCGTCAAAGGACACATCCACCACACGCAAACCTCCTGGCACAACCAGAGAAGGTTTGTGATTGTGTGTGTGATGTTTGGCTGTTTTTGTCTATGTTCTGTAATTTGTTGTGTCGCTTTTTGGCCCTTTTTGGCTGTGTGTTTGCTTCTAATTACTTTCCCTTTTTACTATGTGTTTTGTTGTGCTTGTTTTGTTTCCAAATGCGCTTACTTGCGGTTTCTGCTACCATATTACTTTGCATGATTTTAGAGAGATGCAGAAGATATCACCAACAAGTGCAATGAAACTTGCTCTCGTTTTCCTTCCTGCTTCTCAAGTAAGACTTGATTTTCTTGGCTAAGGCAGAACTGGTGAACCGTAAAACATTAGCAATTCAATGCATTTGGATTTCGAGAGTGATCCACACGGCATGAAAGGTGAACCTCTTCAGTTTCTTGGAGGCTGGAGCTTCCTGCTTTTTCTCACTTGGGTTTTGCAGTATCATATATCAATAGGTGGCGCTAGCTCCGAGAACCTTTGATGTGATCAGTTTCTTGACTCTTTCCTCACAGCTACCTGCCGTTTAGAAATCCGACTTGTATATTTAGCCCCATGGCAAGTTTTATTGTTTGCACCGTCCAGGCCTTCGTCGTGGAGCGACCACCTGGGCAGGAGCTTTTAAGTGTGTGTACAGTAGTCCTGGGAAATGTTATCCTCGACTTTGTGGCTGCTTTGCCTTCAATTTGTCATAAATATGTCAGCATCCGACAAAACTTCCGTATATACGTGTACTTTAGTCATGAGCCGCCTTAAGTATTTCTGAATTGGTCAAAACCTTGCAAAACCGATCGGGGCCAACCCTATGCCGATACCCTTTCTTGATTGAAAGTAGCTTATTGCCTGCATTCCAAAACGCTGGAAACCGATAAGGACCAACCTAAAGTACTTTTCCCGTCCGCCGCTCACATTTTCACACACACACACACACACATATATATATATATATACATAGTATATCGGATTATAGGTGATGCTTTCCACGTGGTACTCTGCAGGAGTTTGATGCTGCAGAGGAATTCATGTGTGAGCATATCCTCAGCTTCCTGTGCGCCCACAGGGCCAGGGGACATTTGCAACCTTGGCGCGACTCTTTTTGCTATTTTCTGATTTGCTTGACGGACGACTGCTGCGTGTGACTTTTCAGGCTGAATGTGCACTCTTTAGTTGAGATCAGACCCTAGCTCACATTGTTCAATTGATGAATGCAGTCCAACGTCCCCTGCTAATTGTTTGCTCAATCATACTACAGTCATTGCTTTGCCGACCTGTCTCAATCTTTTCACCGATCCAGTTGCGAGGTACCGCAACAGGCATGCTGTTTGTTGTGGCTGCCACGAGGCGCTTTGTGGGAGCTGTGGGTCGCTGGCATGAATTTGTGTTGCCATTGACTGGCCGCTGGCCAGCGGGTTTGGGTGGCATTTTGCACCTATATAAGTCTTGGCCCGGAGGAAGGCTGCCATGTTTGCATTTGGTTTTGCCCAGGGGTGGCCTACTTTTGAGTGATCTAAGCCCCACATACACTACTATTATTCACCCGACAGTTTCAGAAAGTGAAAGCTGAACTCAGCAGAGAGCAACATAGACTGAGGGGAAAACAGCAGAAATGCCGACACAGAGACCTTTTTGAACATGGGCTCGTAGATGAGTGCGCTGATTCAAGATGCTCAGAGCTGCTAGCACTGATTCAGACTGTAACCGCTTGCTGGATAAGAGCCGCAACACTTTATTATATGTTAATATTTATTTGTTACTAGCCATAATGATATGTGTGTGTGCATGTATGTTCCTTTATTATATATATAATGTAAAAAAGATGCCAACAGGCAGGCACGAGCAGCCTGGCAGCCTGCACAAACGTTCTATGTAGATCTATGTAGTGGGCAACACATGTGGGAGCTGATACGGTAGTCCAAGTTTGGAACGAGAGGCGGATCCTGAGCTGACTGGGCGCATCAGATGCTCTGCCTTTGCCGAGGCAGGGTGCGAGCGGTACTGATCCGGCCTTTAGTCTAGTGTGATGATGCTGTGATATTTTGTTTTCAGAGCCTCACAGCCATTTCATTGCATGCCATTTCAGCTTTGTGCTCATGGGCCCACATCCCCCTCAAGCCTTGGGACAGGTGCTCAGAGGCATTGACATTTCTTTGACCAAGAGTCGACGCACCTTTAGTGATGTTCAGATCGACGGTCTTGCGGACTCTTGGCACGGCATGGACCGCAAGCATGGAAGGTGATCCAAGTGGCTTTCAGAAACCCTAGCTGCACGTGATTTTTCAAGTGATATGACAAGGCCGCAAGTCAATCAATGCAGTCAGGCGGCCGTGCACCTGCAGAGCCAGGCCAAGTAGGCGACTACCAACTACGCCTACCTTTTGCAGCTGAGGAAGCACTGGGTGAAGAGGATGGCACCTTTTCTTACTTCGAGCTCGTAGCTGAGTGGTTTGCTGAAATCAGTGTTGTTGGAAGCTGAGAGGCAGAAGCATCCTGTTCCTGAGGTTGCTGCAAGCTTTAATTGTTCGCGATTGTGAGAAGACATCAGGATCAATAGGATCCATCTAAGCAAGTTGCTGGGAAATCACCTGGCTTGGGCTTGGGGTGCTTTGCAAAGCAGCTGCAGCAAGCCCAAAGCACAGAGATGAGAGTTTGTTCATCCTTCTTTTTTATAGTTGCAATTTGAAATGAGTTGCTTAGTTGCACTTCGTCATGTGTGTTTGCTTTACACCCTCAAATTCCTGATTCAACTTCTACATTCCTTCGACATTCACAGTAACACTTTACTCACACTGCTGCCTTGGTTGTCGGTCGGTGGTCCAAAGGTAGCAAATCCACCAAAGATGGCCACAGAGTCTCACTCAGCTTTTTGGCCACAGAGGTATTCAACATCTTAATTGGCCCGTGTACAGGCAGGAGCGAGGACTTCAGGAGAAGGGGGCATCACCAGAAGTTTCAATTGGGCTATGCAGGAGTTTCATTCCTATCGGAAAAGGCGCATGGTGAGGCTAACCTTGCGAGCCTGGCTCTTTTCACTGCCGGCGAAATGCCAGAAGTGCGTCAGTGGCCACAGGTTGCCATGAGTCTCTCCTGTAGAACCTTTGAATTCAGAAGAGTATGCAGTAGTGCATCGCAAGTCTCTTTACATTGATACTCAAGAACACCCTGCGCGATGATCAATCGCCTGTGTTTGCTAGGCCGCCAAAGAAGTGGCGATTGAAGCAATTTGTTCGGCAGGCTCCGAGAAAAGACTTAGAGCAGTCTGAAGTAAGCATGGTATTGGGCAGCAGCTGTCCACTTGGCAGACCTATGCAACTAGACTAGTAACTAGACTTGGCAGAGCAGGGCATTATGATTGTTTCCTGATTGCCATTTCATCCGGGATGGGCAGCACGTGTGCATAGAAATTCACTTGGTTGAACTTATCCATTCATTCAGTGCCTCAGATGTCAATCCACATGTTATTCCTGTAGATCAACTGCTTTTGGCAGTAATTTCACGGGCCAGAGGATGAGGCAACACTTCAACTTTCTTCGACTCGCTCCCCATGGGGCCACGTTCGGAGCCTCGAAGGCGGCCCATTTACCATGGTGAGTCCTTACCGCCACCACCGGCACCCCCACCATCGAGGATCTCGCCGCTCTCAACCTTAGATCGAGTCCGTGACTTTCTCGATCGGGCTGGCTTTGAGGGCCCTGAAGAGCGGCCAAAAGACCGAAATGATCGAAGGGTTCGATCAAAGGACGCAGAGTCTCGCAGTACCTCAGAGATACGCAGATTGCCAAAGAGCAGCGGGTCAAAGCCCCAGTCACAGCGTGGGAAGCTTCCAGATCCGCCAGCTCCGCCAGACCCACCGACCCCACCCACTCCACCAGCTCCACCAGTGCCACCAGTTCCACCAACACCTCCAGCAACACTTTCAGTGACACCTCCAGCACCCCTACTAGCTCCACCAGCCCCACCTGCACCGCCCAGTGTGCCAACCCTCCCACCCACCCCACCCATCCCACCTGGCCCACCTGCCCCACCTGCTCCACCTGTGCCACCCGCCCCACCCACAATGAAACGTGCTAGAAGTGTCAGCCAGGAAAGGGTACTTCCACCACCCTTGCCACCGGCAGCCGAGACACGTCAGAGCAAAAGACAAAGGTTTCCAGACCCTCCACCTCCACCAGAACCAAGGTTGCCGCGCCCGCCACCTCCCCCCAAACCCGTTTGGCACGAGTATGAGGAGGATGACTATGACTATGACTACTACCAGACTTGGGATGAGGATGAGGAAGATGAAAGATACTTTACTGAAAGGGAGGGCCGATTTGAACTATTTTCTCATAGCTCAGATGATGAAGACAACCAATCGCAGGTTAGCTACTTGCCGCCACCCCCTATGCCGGGTGACTTTGCTCTACCACCTCCGCCACCTGCCGTTCCCAAAGGTTGGGGCAAGGCTTCCAGGTTTACATCTCGCCGGAACATGGCTGTGACTCACAGCAAGTGGTTCTGTAATTTATGCAACAAAGATTTTTGGAACGAGGAAAAATACAACATACATGTTCAAGATGATCATATCCCATGTCCAGAAGACGGCTGCTCCTTTTCAGGGCCTGAGTTTGTGATGGCCGTCCATAGGCTTAAGCATGTGAAAGCGGCGGATGGAAGTAGCGTCACAGACTCACCGGAGGAGCTTGCTGCTTGGAAAGCCATGCGGAAAGCCAATTTTCCCAGCAAAGGCAACTTGCAGAGGAAGGCAGAGATGGAGGAGAAACGGCGATTGTCGGGTGCTCTTCCTGATCCACCTAAGGTCAGCATGCTGGAAAAGCTTTTGCGTCGCACCCATGGTGTGGAAAGAAGTGGAAAGGGCTTTGGGTACAAAGGCTGTGGCAAGAAGGGAAAGTTCAAGGGAAAGGGCAAGGAATGGAAAGGAAAGGATGGGAAGGGTAAGGAGTGGAAAGGAAAAGATGGAAAAGGAAAGGGCAAATTTTCGGGCAAGAAAGGAAAAGGCAAGAATAGGTGGACACTGGATCATGATGGGGATCAAGAGAGGCATCACAATCACCCTACCTACGCTGTGCCTTTGCCATCTGTGGTGGCCAATTGCGTGCCTTTGGAGGCGCCCTTTGGTATTCAGCACCATGTCAATGTGGCACCAACACAGCAGTTCAAATGGGGTCTTTGCCGCTTTTTTGAGCGTGGCTTTTGCTTTCATGGAGAGAACTGCCAGTATGAACACAGCGGAGCAAGCGCACAGCAAGTCATTAGCAGCACTGCCTGGTGGGCGCTTCCCTCCTCCCTGGCGAACCGTGCCGGACGACCAGGCTGGCGAAGAATTTGGACACTTGCTACTTGCTCCTAGTAGTAAGGTCAGGAGCCCTTAGTAGCTTCTTTGCTCCTAGTAGCGATGCCAGCAGCCCCTAGTAGCTACTTGCTCCTAGTAGCTTCTACTTACATTCTGGAAGCTCATTTGTTGTAGAAAGCTGCAGGCAATGCCAACCCAGCCCCTCGTATGCCCCCCAAGAACATTGCTCACAAATTCTTTGTAGGTGCGGTGTTTTGGGCGCAGTTGCACAAGAAAAACGGTGAGCTTTGTTTCCAAAAACGTCTTAAGCAAAACAGCTCAGCCCAAGTCGACACTTTAGATGCCTCAGTCCAAATCATGGCCCTGCAGAAATTACTGTAGGTGAAGCTGGACAAGGATATGTTTTGCTTTGGCGGATGCATGCTCCTTGCATTCGCTACCATTGACGTTTGAATCCGAGTGTTCCGAAGGTGATTCGGCTGCTGCTGCTGCTGCTGCATTCTAAACTAAAATACCTAAGAGGGAATCTGCCGGCTTGTTGTAAGTGGCCACCGCTTTGTGAGGCTGACATGAGTTCAATATGAATTCAAGTGACAGCTGAGCAACTCTGCCAGTTGGGCTTCTTGTGGGATGATGAAGCTGTCAGCCCTCAAACATAGTAGGTGTAAACTACGCTTCTTTACAGCTTGTACACGAGCAGCTGGTTGATGAACCTACTATCAGGCATCCGCTTCCATGTTGATTTTGGGGATGGGTTTGTGACGCGCATCCTATTCGGAATTATTCGGATCTATATAATTATTCGGCCCTTTGGGTTGTGGGAGGCCATTTTGATCCATTTTGTATAGATATATATCAGCGTGCGTTGTTGGAAACGGGCTCGAATTCCAACCGGCTGCATTTATTATGGTTCCAAGTCGGAGGGACAGAGAGAGAAAGAGAGAGTGGGAAACGTCAAGACTGTCAAGGCCGACGGCCTCATGCACTGATTCGTAGAGAAGTTGAGGAAGTGGAGAAAGTTCTTGTTCGATATTAGAGGAGTGAGGCATTCTCCCTGAGACCGGACAGAACCAGATGAAGCTAGTCAAGATAAAGAAACATTTGTTGGTCAAGGCTTGTTTATTTTAGACCTGAGCCTGACAGCTTGCAGGGGCAGCCAGTACATGTCTAATCCTTTAAGCTACTAGTAGCAAGTGCATCGCTACTAGTATCAAGGATATCAAATTCAAAAAAAATATGTTCCCCTACGTACATTCAATCATTCCTAGCAGGCGAGGGTCCAGCTGGTGGCGTCTTCGGGTCTCTTCGTTCTCGGCAGCTTCGCCCTACTCGCGTTGAACCCTATGTGGTTAGGGATCCACGAGAACGGAGGGATGGGCTGCTGAGAAGGCTTCTACAACCTGACGTGGAGAGGCGGGCGAAACAGGAAGAGTGGGTGGAAAAGAGTTGTCAAATGTGTAATAACAGTATCTAATTCATCACTAGTCGCATTATTATGCAAATGCATGATCAGTTCAAGCTGGTGAGACAGCAACTAAGCCGGGCATAGGCTTGAAACGCAATTGCAAGTTGATGGGCTGCATGCAAAAAAAGGTGAGCAAGGATGAGCATGTGCTAGTACTTTTTTGACCCTTGCTTATTTTGTGTTGCTAAACCTGCTCAGGTACTATTCCGCTATCCTGCAGTGTGTGCGCTACATTGTCTCCACTGATTTCTTGCGTTTGGAAAGGCCTCACATCGAGGGCCAGCCTGAGGTTCAACCGCAGCCACCTGTCTTGAATAGCAATATCGCGATATTACATTCAAACCATTCGTGTTGCAAGAGTTTCACCAGTGCTTTCTCAGGAATTGAGGTCATAGAGGCCTCTGCACCGCACCTGTCCATTCCGGCGGTGGGTCCTTGTGTTCTGTTGGGTGTGCATTTCCTCCAGAAGGACATTGTTAAACAAGAACTGCGCTCGAAAGGAAACGTCCCAATGGTCCCAATCCGCACCTGATAATAATTATGTGACGCTGGTCGGGCTTTGGTTGGCCGCCTTGTTTTTTCAAGTTTGCGGTTTTGCATCAATGTTGATGTGTATAATATACACTTTGTACGTACTTTTGATTTTGTATATGCTAGAATTTCCTCCATGAATGCCGCTTCATCCACAGGTGCACACGAATACAACATGATAATGATGAGCATACATTTGCATGCCTTACACAGGAACGAAGTTTACAATGCTGCACAGTAGTTGTTTTGACGTCCTTGTGGTTGTAGCGCGGAAAGTTGCAATGCTTCCCTTCTGGAGGGGGAAGGTGAATACATGTTCAGCAACTGCTTATGTATGCCCTTTGGCAACAACACTGCCTCAAAGCTGTTCACGCAATCAGTACCATCTTCAGGAACTGTCAACGCGGGACTTTCGTAAGCAATTCAGAATTGTTTATATATATATATATACTACATACATAATTTTAGACCTTAAGCATCCTTCAGCATGACATGCAGAACTAGGAAGGGGAGCATCCGTCGCGAAAAAAAACAATAAACACACTTCAATGTCTTGGGATTGTTGGACGCTCCCGGCATTAAAAAGCTTGCTGGTTTGTTTGTTAATTTGCCAAATTGATTCCTAATCTGTGTTCCGAAAGGTGGTGTGGGGTGGACAGGCATGGAGGGCATGCCACCAAGAACAAACAACACCAAATTCCATCGGTTGCTTTCGGATTTTGCTCCCCAGCCAAAGCTTCAGGCCAAGTCCCGTTCAACAAGCCGCCACGGAGCAACCTGGCGATGAGCCGGACAATCAACTGATGGATACGGAGCCCACTGACCTGGACGATGAAGAGATTGCTGGATTGGGCTCTTTGTTACGCAAAGAATAAAAATATCCATATCGAATTAATATATAATTATTTTGAAATCAAAATATATAAATATTATATATCACGAAAGGTAGCCCTTTAGGGGATACCTTGAGTTTGTCTTGCGAAGCAAGTGTTGGGACGTCCGGGTCTAATAATTGATCGCTTAATTCAAACACCCCCCCCCCTCGAATTGATGTTTCAATACAGATCCCCACCCCCCCGCCCCCTTGGAATTGATTTTCACGAAAGGTAGCGGTTACGCTACCTGAGTTTTCCTTTTGCTTTAGCAAAAATGTATTAACCCAGACCTGCAGCCTATCTCTCGGAGAAATGGTCCCCGACATCTTCGTTTGCTGGCCGGGGTTCAACTCCACCCTAGCGCGCCTCGGGGACCGGGTCAACCGTTCGAAAACACTGTAAATATTAGTGTTTTTAGCTCTTCCAGTCTTTAGCAGTGACCAAAAATTATGGAATTTACAGCGTTTTTTGTGGCTGTCCGGCGAAAAAAGACCAAAAACCAGGAAAGATTTTGTCAGAAAGGGTTTTTGAGGCTTTTGGAGGCTTCAAAACTGCACAAAACTATGGTATTTACAGGGTTTTGTGCACCTTCCCGGCAGAAAACGCCGGTATTTACGCGGTTTTCTGCGCTTTTCCAGCGCTCAACCGTGGTGCGCCTTTGGATCGACGGCTACAAAATACCGTAAATACTAGTGTTTTCAGCTCCTGTCTTCAAGCGTGGCCTTAGACCTTGCCGCGGCTATGGATCGACGGCAACGAAACCTTGTAAATACCAGTATTTTTGAGCACGTCCTGTTTGTAAGCATGGCCTGCGGCCACGCAATTTACAGGGTCGCCGTACGTCACTATGTAAATCCGAAGTTGTATTTGAGAAATATGTGACTCCTTTTGAAGGCACGTCGCGTTTGTGCACTAGTCTTTCTTTCACGCTCACTCACTTCTCTTCAAACAAGTGGGGGGCGTCTTACCTCCTCCCGGATTACGCCTGATTCCCTGCTACCTTTCGTTCACCCCCCTCCTCTCTCAAGTTCAATGCAGACCCCCCCCCCCCCCCCCTCGAAAATTAATTCTCTCCTGGAGAACGTTTTCGTGAGCCTCTCATGATTTTAGGATAATTGAAACCCTCTTGAACATTTAGAAAGAATGAATATGAACTTCTAAAAGGTGTTCTTCGAGGGGATACATACTTGAGCTATGGGGCAAATTATTTTTTCCTAAGAATCTTTTTGAACATTTCGAGAGTATATATTTGAATATTTAGAATACATATAAATATATATTTACGAAAGGTCGTTTCCGAGGAGATAAATCACTATGTCGAACATTGTATTTTTGTGTTTGCCTCTCGTGTTTTCTTCTCTTCTCGCTGTCTTACCTTTCGTAATTCTTTCCTTTTAAATTATATTTATTAAAACAAATGAATATATAATTTATATATTCAAATTTAATATATTTTTTAAATATTTTAAATTATGATTTTAGAATATTATTAAAATGGCAAGATTATAATTAGGAAAGTATAATTTTGATGGTATTAAGTAAAATTGATATTAATTTGATTATGGATAAATATATGATATGTTTTTTTGTATATGTTTGTTATATTAGTTATTTTTTTGGATGGGTTTGTAATTGTTTGGTATATAATTCTTGATGTAATGGTTGGAAATTCGATTTGAATAATTATATATGTGTTTTTTTCGCATTATATATGTTAATATTTTATTGTTATTTTCTGGTAGCTGGAGTTGTAGAAAGGAAGACGATCGAATACTCGAAGTTCTAGTCGAAGATCGGTCGAAGCGATGCCGATGCCCACGAAGTTAGCGTTGCCTATTTTCTATTATGGCTTTAAGTCGTGCGCAATTCCTACCCCTGACAGTGGTTCGGTTTGAGCCCATTGGGCATTCATGAAATAGATACCATGTTTCTCCAAGGCATGGTGGCACATGATTTCTTTAAAATTAACATCGGTGGTTGTTTCGACCAAATTAGTCCACAATCCACTCTTTATACGAGCACCTGCCTTCTTCTCTTACAAACTCTTGAAAATCTTCGAAGGTGGTGCTGCTCATAGAATTTGTAACAAAAGGCGTCTGAGCGCCTGGACCACAAAAATTACAGGCGTGTCGTCTCACAACACGGCCGGAGCGGGAAGTGCCGCGACGTGTCTCTTCAGCATGCTAGGCGGCTGCAAAAGGTGTGGTTACCACTCCATGCTCAAGCGGGCAGTCTTCAAGGTGCCCTTGGATCTTTCGGAAAGCTCTGGTGAAGAGCGCACAGCTGCGACGGTGCCGGTCGTTGAGTTCTGCTAATTCATCTTGGTCAGCATGGTTTTCTGCCAACACAGCATCGTTCTCCGTGCGCTAAAATTGGTTGCGCGCGATCAGCTCTGCAAGGCGCTCTTCGAGCTCACAAACCTTCTCCATATGTTGGAGATGAAGATCTCTCAGCTGGTCCCTCAGGGCCTGCTCATGCCTCTCATGCCGACCTGCCGTCACCCGGATTCGGGTGTTGACCAAGTTGCGCCAATGGCGGCGCTCGAGGAACCTGCCAAACTTGTAGGTAGCAAAGCTCAGAATCGCTGAGAAGAGCATGAGGAGCGTGCAGAGTACAGTCAAAGGCGACCAAAAATATTCTTGCTCAACAGGGCATGTGTCAACGTCCAAGGCCTGGATGAAATGGTTACCAGCCAATACAGCTTTGACCTGGGTATAGCAAACCAAGGCTGTCAAGGGAATCTTCGATGAGGAAGATGTATTGTTCCACGCCACTGCTTGAACCGGAGTCCGTTCAAGGTCATCGAACTCCTGCTCTGCTTGTGTGGTGTTTTTTGTTGTGCTTGTTTGGGGTTTGTGGATGTTGTTGTGATTCTTTTCTTGCAATGCTCTTTTACGAACTCTTGTTTGCTCTTGTCTCTCTCTTCTTTCGTTTTCTTCTTTGCACTGACATAGTTGGCTGGGGTCCCAAACCAGTTTAATGCGACCATAGCGCAAACGATCAACCAGCAAAGATCTCGTGCTTGTTTTGGTGAGTCCATCGGCGTATTGCCGTTCGCTAAAGACCCAGCGCAAGTTGCCACCCAGCTCGGTGATCTGCTGTTTTGCTACCCGGATTTCCAGGTATGTTCTTTTGTCAACTGAGGAGCTGGTTGAGGAGGATTCCTTGTGGAATGTATCGTTAACGCTTTGGCGTCCGTGATCAATGTTGGATACAAACTTGACTTTTCTTGAAGGCGATCACGGAGGTCCATGTTGGGGTTCATGATGCAAGACCAAAATCGAGCTATGTATTCGTTGGCGTCTGATGTTTGTCCTGCGGCTTGGGCTTCAGCACTGAGACTGCTTCTCGCCACACGTGGCAGTTTGAACGATCTCCAATCAACAACGTGGTAGGAGGTCTCTTCATGGAAGACAGTGTCGGGCGTGATGAAGGCGATGAAGCCTCCTTGAGAAGAATGGTCTTCCCTCACTGCATGCGCTGCATCAAACATCACACTCAGTCGAGCCTTGCTGAGGTCTTGCCAAGAGTGAATGGACTCGAAGGGCTTATAGCGCAAGGTGATGTCGCTATTCTCCTTTGCAAAGCGAAGTAGAGAGTTCCCTTCGACAATGGCTCTCAGCTTGTTGGTCTTCTGCTATCCACTGATGAGGCTCGCACTGCATTGGAGGTGTGGTTGTGATTGAACAGCTGGTCACTGAAGGCTTCCCAACAATGCACGAAGTTGTGATCGATCATATTCATTCATTTCATCTTCTGGTCCACGACCTTGGTGTATGGTCACCGGTTTGACTTTCTGGATGAAATTCTTCTGAGAGAGGGAAGAGAGGGACCAGGCAAAGTCGGAGCGATTGTGGGTCACTCCGCAGTACTCCATGGTTTCAGAGTCTTCTTGCTAGATTCGAAAGTCAAAGATCTCCTTGAGTCGGCCTTCGGCAGTCAAGTAGGTTTGACAATTGCGATCTCCAGCACCAAACATGTCATTAACGTGTAGACAGATCATACCACAAGGTCGAATTGTACCGCAGGGTTCTTCATGGTGCAGTGTGAAAAGGCAAGGATCAAGTTCATGAGATCGCCAACCTTCTTGGGTGAGCCGACGTTTGGCTTCAAGCCACCAGCGTCTGGGTGCATCAAGTTATCCGTACACGGGCTTGATCAGGGCCATGCGACTTTCGGGTTGACATCCCAAGATGGCATTGCAATCTGTCGGAAGACGAAGCCATAGTTTCCTCTGTTGTGGCAATCCCTGCAAGAAGGCAGTTGCAACATCAGCTGACCAGCTATGCCAACGAAGCATCGCTGAAATGCTCAAAAGGAGTGACCTGGCCAATCTCGAGGCGGTAGGGCTTGCAGTGTCAAGCTGTCCGGACAATGCATCGATGTCATTGTAGCCTCTGACCACCAGGCGTGCCTTGGCTCTCGGACTGCCATCAGCATTCTTTGACCACTTCAAAAGCATCTTGCTCGTCAACGTTCGATTAGGATCAGCCTCAGAGGTTGAGGAGAACTCCCAAACACCATTCTCAAAGAAACTCTTCAGCTCCTTGCACTTGGCCTCGTAAAACAGTTGGAGCTCAGCTGAATTGAGATTCTTTTCACGAACTTCACCTTTATCTTTCTTCACCTGCCGGATGTGATGAGTCTTAGCTGCTTGGGCTGCCTTTCTCACAAAGCGCATAGATGTTGCTGATGTGGTTGTAGATGATGAAATCATGCCCCACTCTTGTCATTTCGCGGCAGTGATTTGAAAGATGGTCTGACCAATCCATTTCTTTGGAACAGGTGCAGCGTTCTTGGAGTTCTTGGTGCTTTTGAAGATGTTCTCGGTTTTGAAGTGGTTCGTCACCGAGTGAGGATTGGATCCTGGCTCCCGGTAGACCGTCACTTGCACATCATCGAGGTCTTCTACAGGAATTGGTAGGTCTCGACGGTCTCGGATGTCGAAGAGCTTGGATCGTAGATTCACGTGGTGACGAATGAGACACCACTTTTGATTTCCCGGAAGTCTTTTAAGGAGCTCTTCAATTCCAAGGTCTTGGTGTCCTTCTGAAAGATCCATCCAGGTGGAAGGGAATCTGCATCAAGATCCTCCATTTCAAAGACTGTCTCGGCATTCTCTGGCTGAGGTGGCTTCATGTAGGGAGTCATTGAAGCACGTGCTGTTCGTTGTGGACCAAAGGACATAGTTTCCTGTCGATCAAGACGCATGCGCTGCTGCTGGAAGGTCTCTGGTTTCTCGGGCTTCTGAAATGTAACCTGAATAACAGGATCCAATGATGGAGCAGCTTCAGAACTTGCATTCGGTGTTGGTGGAACAGGTTCAGCAGAAGGTTCCGACTCCATGTCGCTGATCTCTGGTACTGCAGGTAGTGCTGAAGGAGGTAGAGCTAGATCAGCGGGAGGTCCAGAAGGTTCTGTTGCCGGAGGCTCTGGGTCTTCATGTTCTGCAGGAGGTCCAGGTAGATCAGGAGCACTCGCTGGTTCCCCACAGGAGTCATATGAAAGTCTTCATCTGGAATGGACGGAGTGTAGTCCTCAATCTCTAGCGGTAGTTCATCAAGCCGACGTCTTTTGGAGTCAGGCTCATCAAGGTCTTCTTCTTCTTCATGTTCATCAATGTCGAGGAGATTCTGGCGGTTGACCTTGTCCAAGTCGATGAAGCGGGTGACTCCACGAGACTTCAAGGATTGAAGAACACGATTTGCATCTTCAAGGTTGTCAATTGCCGTGTTCTCGAGGTGGTTGAACTCTGGTCTCCCATGGTGAGGAGTTGCTCGGATGAGTTGAGTTTTGTGAGCCAACCAATAGACATATGGCATGCCGTCTTTCTCCTCCACGCAGACCACTTTTGCAGGACCACGCCACCTGATCTTACACAGATCGTTTTGTTGAGCGTCTCTCCAGTAGTGGCAGATCTGTCCAGGTAGAAGACGTTGGTTTGTTCCTGCATACCTCCTCAACAGTGCACGTCTCAAACGACGATCGGTGTCCGCCTGGATGATGGCGGTCTTTGCCATGTTGCGTCGATGTAGATGTTCTTCAAAGTCATCGGAGGTCTTCAGTGTACAGTCAACTGAGGAGAGCAGTCCGGGTTGCGCAGGCTGATAGCCAAGTACCCACTGCGTTGGAGAGCAGCCAGACACGGTCGGCTGAGCATTGAGCTGAGGCAAAACATAGGCCAGGGCTTGCTTGACGCCATCACCATCTTCAAGGCTCAAATCATGCATGTAGACCTCGAGGGCTTTTCTCAAAACGGAGTGGCGTCTTTCAACATGTCCAAGGCGCTCATGTGCTTCGCCAGGTCCCACGTTGTGAAGGATGCTATGCTCATCAGTCCATTGCCCAAACTCATCGCTGAGCCAACCACGACCTTCATTAGTGATGAGCTGCTGAGGAACACCAAAGTGTGCCACCTAATGTCGTTCAAGGGCCTTGATGTAGTCCTGAGTGCGTTCACTGTCCAACAAGGCTTCTGCTTGAAATCGAGTAGCAACATCAAGGATGGCCAGGATAGGCATCTTCTTCTTACCCAACTTGATCCAGAAAACGTCGCTCTGCACGACCTGGTTGAAGTGCTGTGCCTCCTTGATCGATGCAGGTGCTGCTTGATTTGGCTTCTTGTAGCGCAAGCACGAAGAACACAAGTAGTTCTCAGCAACGGAGAGGACTGTAGCACTCGCTCCACGGGCCGTGAGAAGATCGACCAAGGACTGGGCGGATGGATGCCCAAGATTTCTGTGCAGCCTTTGGACCACTCTCAAAGCTTTTTGTTTTCCTTCAGCATGAAGATCGACCAGTTTGCCCAGGTATGACTGCATCTCTTGGACGGCGAAAGCGCCATCCTAAGCTTGAGGTCGTTCATATGCACTGATTGCGGTGCCCAGAACAGCTGCAAAGGCAGGTTGGTAATCTTCCATGTAGGAGGTTCTCTTGCCAATGCCTGGAATGTGTCCTTCAAGGCGACAGTGTTCATGACTATGGTCACATAGGAGGTTCATGCTTTCAGTCACAGCTCGTTTCGTGGTGCGAATGGTTGTGTCCTTCTTGGCGGGCCGCCAAACTCCATCAATATCACAGCAAACGCAACCATAGCGACATTGATGAAAACGAGCATTGAGACCTGGAAGGTGCCTCAAGGCGTTGGTGCTCCATGAGAGTGCTTGAGTTGGTTGTTCAAGATGTGCATGGCGTCCATGTTGAACTTGCTGCAAGTATGCTTGTTTGCAAAAGCCAAGGTGTACACGATGATGCCATTCATGAAGAGTGTACAGCGTTTCTTTTCTCTGCTCAGTGGTGGCTGAGATGTTTTGCATCTTGCTCCATGGACCACATGATGGAGACAAGAAGAGCTCATCAGGTTCTTCTTCTTGGAGGCGTTGCATGAATAATGCACGGTGGCTTGCCAAGCTGAAATTCCAACCAGTGGCGAAGGAGAAGACTTCGACCTTCATGCCCAATGCTTCGGCCAGTTGCGAGAGTCTGCTTTTGCCAACATATACTTCCCAAAGAACTCGAGGTGGTGGATGGCCTTCTTTACGAATCACATTGTCCACATAGGCATGAAGTCGGTTCAGCTGAGTCTGTGAGTTGGAGATCAGCGTTTTCCAGCGCTTCATTGGCATTGGAGACCCTTGGTCCTCAATGGATTCTTCGACCTGGTAGATGTGCTCTTCAGTGAGAAAGTCGTCGAAGGTGCCGGGATCGCCAAGAGTTTCTTCAAGCTGTAGGTCGAAGCTTGGCTCCATTGACAACTGATCGCTGTCGAAGGTGTCCGTGAGAGCCAGGAGGTATTCCTCGTGCTTGCCAAGAACAGCTTGTTGCCACGGGTGATCACCAAACTTCAGACGCTGCTGGGCGTTTCACCCTTCAGAACAAATCCTTGCACCACTCCATAGGTGTTGTTGATGTAGAACGGAAGCTTGCAGGTCCATGTGCTGACCTTTTGGTGGTTTCCTCCAAAGTGGAAAGTCCGTTCACAGCGGTTCAACTGGAGTCATTGGTGTCGAAGCCGAGCTGCTTCAGGTGGTGCACATACCGGATGAGAGGTCCACTGCCCATGAGGAAGCTCGATGCTCCAGGGTCTAGCATGGCACAATCAGGTCGTTTACGTCCAAAGGAATCCTCAAAGATGACCATGGATTGTTCATCTGCAAGTGTGGCAACACTCTCAACTGCTTGACGCTTGCCAGAACCAGTTGTTGAAGGCTTTGGAGTGCTGGACTGAGCAGTACATTGAGCCGTTCGGTGTGCAGTTGAGCCACATCGCATGCAGGCAGGAGCCAAAGCGCTTCGAGCACGACCTTTGGGATCAGCTTGTTTGTCAGGAGGCTTGTTGTAGCGGTAGGTGCTGCTTTTGCCTTTTCCCTTGGACTTGCCCTTTTTGCCCTTTCCAAAGCCAGAACCATATCCCTTGCCGAACTGAGGTCGAGGTGCTTGAGATGAAGTTGCTGTCGAAGATTGGTCCTGCAGGGCCACAATGGGCAGGAAACCCCTGCTCATCTTGAGGTCGTTGAACCTCTTGCGGGCGTCCGTGTAGGTGGCATAGGCCTCGTCATACTCGGAGACATCAAATTCACCATCATGCTCTTGGATGTCGCACTCTTCTTGGAAGTAGGCGGCATCATCATCAAATTCATCATACCATTTATCGACCTGCTCATCGTCAAGGTAGTAGGTGCCCTCATCCTCGGGTTCCCACTCAACGGATGGGTTGTCCCAAGTGAGGTCAACTGCGTTGTCCTCACCAGCGAAGTAGCCTCGACCCTTGCCGGTCGAGTTGAAGGGGCGCTGCCAACGACTGTTAACAGACTGTCCGCCACCTTTGTAGTCTTGACCCAGGATTGCATACATAGCTTGTTGGGTTTTTGCACGTTCAAGGAACGCAGATTGCGTCATGAGCATCTGCTTTTGCTCACGAGTCAGGCCAGATTTGGCCAGGAGGTGCCAGCCTTGCACGGTGTCCGGAAGTTTCACTCCGTGCTTCTCAACTTGTTTCAACTTGTCATCATGGTCGGTCACAAACTGGAGGAGCGTCTGATCCTGCCGCCGTTGGAGGTGCTCAAAGTATGCGGAAAAGTCCGCAGGAAGCTCAACCTTGCTATCATAGCGAAAGGTAGAATCAAGGCGGGTCAGGATGTGATCCAGTGCTTTGTCGTTCTCTGCTTGTTCGATGTCAAAATCCTCGCATAGTTTCCAAGCGGTGCCGCTTAGCGAACCAAGCAAGTTGAGAATGGCCTCGCCTTGGCGCTTGCTCAAACACATCTTTTTGTAGTAAATGAGAATCCTCTTGCGCCATTCACGGTAACCACTCAAGGTTCCATCGAACAAGGGGATGTAGGAGTCTCGGGCTGACACAAAGTCAAGGTCAGCCTTCTTTTCCTTTTCGGCCGTGGCCATCGTTCAGGACGATGGACGTCCCACAGCCGCACTGTGTGAACTCACCTGCCAGGGAGACAAGGACAAAGGTCTCGTCAGGCAAGAAGAGATGGATGTAGTTGTAGTTAGTGGAGGTTATGTTGTATGTGTAGGTTGTGTTGTAGCGAAGTGGCGCGGGAGCTCCCTGGATGGGAGCTCCGCTACCAATGTCACTTTCTGGTAGCTGGAGCTGTAGAAAGGAAGACGATCGAACACTCGAAGTTCCAATCGAAGGTCGGTCGAAGCGATGCCCACGAAGTCAGCGCTCCCTATTTTCCATCATGGCTTCAAGTCGTGCGTAGTTCCCACCCCTGACGGTGGTTCGGTTTGAACCCATTGGGCATTCATGAAATAAGTACCATGCTTCTCCAAGGCATGGTGGCACATGATTTCTTTAAAATCAACATTTCTATATAAGAATTAGGTACTAAGGTGATTGTTTAAAATTTAATATTTTATAGATATGTATGAAGTAATGGTGCATAATATTTGTAATTGTGTGATTTATGGGGTTTTAATTTGTCTAAAATTGTTTGTATTTTTTTCGAAAGAATAGAAATATATATTTTAGATAATGATAATATATTTATGTATTTTTTCTTGGAAAGAAGAATTAGAGGATTGCATTCTTTTGCAGAATCTAATGATAAACGAATTATACCCAAATTATATGTTTCTACACAATTTCTTACCCATTCCCCATTTTGGTTGTTTTGGTGGGATTTGGATAGGGTTATTGAAATCTTTGATGAAAATGGATTTGCCCAATTTGTTTAGCATTTAACAGATATTGTTTGCTTATTGCCTCGGTGTAAAGTGGAGCTATTGCTGGAAGTCTAGCTAATTACAATTTCAAAAAAACGAATCATTTACGAATTATATCTTCGAATCATACCTCCCGAATTATATATTCGAATTATTTGTATATTTTAATAGATATTAATATAATATTTAAATATATAATTCATTATATATAATATTTAGAATTAATTAATTATAATCCTTGTATATTGTTAGGCGAATCTAAGATATCGTAGAATAGAATAGATATTAATTATTGATGGATTTCTTAATTTGACAATAGATATTTTATATCATCACCCCAAAATCAATCGTAACCGCATGAATGAAATTTTTGATACAATAAAATGAATATTTTCCCGAAAATGTTCCGAATTCTTCATATTATTTATAATCATCCCATTTTTCAAATTGAATTCGACGAATTCAAATCTGGAATCTATGAGTAGCAAGCAGGCATTCGGCAGGATTGTCCCCTTAGCTCGTATCTATTCGTCTATTCGTCATTATTATATCGAATATATTCTCGGATATTCGATCTGAATATCACCGGTCTCTCAATCATGGACAATTGGATTAATATTGATACGGTTTTAATTATTGAAAATATTTAACACGGGTTTAATGAACCGATTATTATTATATGTTGTTGAAAATAAATTTGAATATTACGGTCTTTTGTTCAATAAATATAAATGCGCAATTATCTCCACGAATGGAAAATATGATGTCAGATTTAGGGACGGAATCCGTATAGTATATGAAGATCATATCTCATATCTCGGGGGTTCCTCATACGATATATAAATAATCAAATTGAAATTGAATGCAGGATTTCTGCAGTTATGGCAATTTGGACACATATTTTTCAACAATGCAAATTGTCATATCAGAATTTTTTTTATCTATAATGATATGATTCATTCAACGATTTTATATGGGTTTGAAACGGTAGATTTGATGCATCCTTATTTTCTAAATTCCAAATTTTCCAATTATGCGACCTCCGAAAGATCCTGAAGATGCGCATCCCATTCATCGACCGTAGAAATACGAATGCCGAAATCTACCGTACATCAATACCCGGCACAATAATGCCAATTTTTGTGACCTTCATTATTATCCTTATATGCCTGAGGATTCTCCCATTTGCCTTTCTTGATATTCGTTTGTTAATTTGTTTCACCTTAATGCCTATTATATTTTCATTTCATCTTCAATTTGGTTGGTTCAACCTAGGGTATGTTTTTTCCAACATCCGAAATGCCAAATGAGCATTCGGTCAGGAAGGCATAAATTCTTTTAAAATATCCGGTTGTATTGAAATCCAAGATTAATATAGGATATTTTCCCAGGATTGATCCTGTTTCAGCCAAAACAGATGGATACAATTGAAAATTAGAGGATCAAAATAAGGCAAAAAAAATACCTGATAATTTTAGGAAGGCTTGAGGTCAACATACTAAACGAATAGGATCGACGAAATCGTTCCTCAAAAATAGATGTTGGACGACGAACGAGATAAAACAAAATTATTTCAATCTTAGGTATTTTCCAACATTTTGTATTCTCTGTGGAGATCTGACGTCTAAGAAAATTAAGTATTGTTATAGATATCTGAAAATTTTAAAAGGTTAATGTATTTTTGGGCAGATTCGGTATATTTCTATTAGTTTATAATATATTGTATCTTCTGCCTGCAGATCGAAGATTTGTTCAAAAAATTAAGGATCTAATTTTCCAAAGAAATATTCATGGAAATAATTATTATGAAATCCCGGGGGATAGATCAATGCCAATAGCATATTATTGTTTATTCTCATATTGTCAGGTGGCCAATGCAAAAAAAATAATTTGTTGAGCAATTCAATTTTTTTACAATCTAATATTTCGGGCGTTATTTAGAATTATCTATATCCTTAAGGATAAAATCATCTATATTATAAAAAAATAAATTTGTATTTAGATTCCCACCAAAAAAATTAAATATAAAATATATTGTGTATGTTTCATCGGATTTTTCCATAATATCATATATTATTATTATTCTTGTACTAGCAAACCTCAAACAATAGATGATTTCTGCACAATATTTTCAAAATATTCATTAAGATCAAATAATATTTCCTATCATAAATAAAAAAAAATATATATATATATTTAACTAAATACGTAAAATTCAAAAAAAAACAAAAAATCGTTATCATTTACGATCATATTTCGTCTCCCTTTTCTCTTACATTCCCACTACCGAATAAATATAATTCTATTAAATATCCGATATACTGCGCCTCAATCAAATAATAACTAAAATAATTCATTGGAATAGTTCATTATTAATGATTATATTTATTTTATTTAACATAATTATGATTCCTTAATATAAAATCATCCTCATATCTTGATTTAGAAATATCATAATAACAATATATCATATTTTTACCATAATATTTACCAATATAATATATAGAAATACAATTATTATCTATATATCCTTAATCCTATATAATCATTAATTACCATCATTTTTTACAATACCTCAAACCAAAAATACAAAAACAAAATAAAATCAATCAAATATCTTGCCAAAAGCATGCTAATTAACAAAATTATTTTATATATATTCAATCGATATAGTTAAATAATCAAATCATTTTTTTCATTTCATCTTCCAGCTATCTCCTCGGATAGCCCGTGTTGGGCCGCAGGCAGCTAAGAGCCCGGACACGTCTGGCGTGTCGAAGCGCCAACTCGAATCCAAGGTCAAAAAGACCATAGCTTAGGCAAAACGATCACCAAGCAAATCTACGAAATTGTGTGCCGGCATAGGAAGAGGCTTCTTCCAAATTGCATTGACCAGGCGGGACGGAAACAAATCACTATAAATATATATATATATATTTCAAATATATATCTCATTAAAATAATTATATATATTTATTTCAATTAATTATTGTTATATAATTTACATATTATTTAAAAAATACTATATATATAGACATTTCTTCAATATATATATACATATAATTCTAAATATATATAATTTACATATTTTAAATATTTAGTTTTATATACATGTTATATTTATTAAATATAATCTGTTTATATATATTGATCTTTATATAGATTAATATATATTAGGGTGCCGAAAATTGCACTTCTTAATTTCTAAAACGAAACATTTCCTTTCCCCTCAGAATCCTACGTGCAACATGTCGACAACCTAAAAGCCTTACAAATATTATAAGTTTAAATGGGTAAAGAAACTTAATCGTATTATACCTACCAAGAAAATGGATATATCATTTTATTTAAATAGATTTTAAAAATGTATTTTAGGGTTCTTAAAATATGTTTTTTGTATTTTTCAAGAAGTGCTAGAAATATATATTATATATATATATATCATTATATATAATATTCAATAATTTATTGTTTTTGTAACAATAAAATATCTATTTTTCATTCGTTTCCAGCCTGAGTAGGTTCAGGCCCGTGTTGGGCAGCACCACTTGTGTGGTGGGTGTTTCTAGAGCATCTATTGCCACGGTCACGTGCGATCGAAAAGCAGCAAAATCGAATCAAACGAACTGCTCAGTTAGAGAATGCCGTAGCCAAGAGATCAGACAGATCAGCCAGTTCCTCGACCGGTCGTCGCCACCATAAGCTGAGTGCATCTTGCGGTACAAGCCAGTACATGTACGCAGCACGGCGTACCGGATCAACAATCGGGCATCGAACAGGTGCACGGCCATCATCAGTAATCCACGAGCTGCCCGAGCTCACAAACAAACATTGGTTGGCCGCTCCAAGATTCATCATCAAAGTGGCACAAGATGGCCACCACTCGGTAAGGGACCCAATTCATGTCTTGGCCCATGGGGTTGTTGAAGACCGACATATGGACCTCAGCACGTGAGAAGTCCACAGGAGCATCATGCTTCGTGGCAAGGTCTGGAAATCGTTCGAACTGTAACACAATGCATGGGTGGACATGAACACAAGCGTGTGTATAGGGAGCTTGGTCATGCCACATGTTGATCATAATTTGCAGGTCACATCTCTTTTCAACTGCCATACGAAGGAGCAAAGGTGCCAATAAGGCTCCACGGTCTTCGATGCTATGGGCAAGCCGGGTTTGCCAACCCCAGTGTTCTCGGCTCCAAAGAGAATCAGTCAAG